GGGATGGGTGTGTCAGAGGCAGTGCGATTGGCACAGGACAGAGCGGAGTTTAGGGCTGTTGTACATAGGGTCGCTATGAGTTGCTAACGACTCGATGGCACATAACAACAACAACAACGAACAAAAAATCCTAAGAAAGTCCTTCAATAGAGACACCACAATAAAGTAGATGGACCATGCTGCTGTTGCTGTTGTATACTGTAGAGTCAGAACTGACCCATAGCTGATCCTCCAGCAGGTGTTCAGAGGCAGTTAATCACACAGGAGGAGATTGTCCATCCCATCCTCTCCTGTGAAGCAGCTGATGGATTCAAACTCTGTGCCTTCAGGTTGGCAGTGTAGCTTCTTGCCACTAGGCCACCAGAGCTCCAGATACAACATAGTAACCAGAAACAATAGGAAAAGAAATACAACAAAGTGCAAGTGATAAAACCTGGCATGTCAATAAACACACTTAAGATTAATGGACTAAATGCACCAATTAAGAGAAAAAGAGTAGCAGAGTGGGTGTTTTTTTTTTTTTAAAAAGCCCATCAATATCCTGCCTACAAGAGACATCTAAGAAATGAGGAAGCAGACTAAAAATCAAAACCTGGAAAAAATACATCAAGCAAATATTAGGTGCTATCAACTCAAATACAATTTATAATGACCCTCTGAACAGCCATTCGGAAATCTACCTATCCTGTATAATCCTTATCATCTCTCAGCCACTGCCAGCAGGAGTGGCAATACTAATTTCTGATAAAATAGATTTCAGGATGAAAACCACCATAAAAGATAAGGAAGGACATAACGTAATGATTAAAGACATAACAGACCAAGAAGACATTACCTTGATCAACATCTACACACCAAATGATAGACCTGTAAAATATGTAAAACAACAGTTAACAGACTTGAAGAAAGTCATAAACAACACAACAGTGGTAGTAAACTAGAACATATAACTTTCAACAAAGGATAGGTCAACTCAAAAGAAAAAAATAACACAGATATAAGTATACAATCAGCCAACTGGACCTTGTGAATGTATTCAGATTATTGCACCCAACTAAAACTCAATGTTATTTCTTCTCTAGTGCACATGGTACATTCTCCAGAACTGATCACATATTAAAACACAATATATAGATATAGATATAGATATAGATATAGATATAGATATAGATATAGATATA